CCAGGATGGGATATTGGTCGATCCGGCCAAAGTGGAGGCAGTGATGAGTTGGGAGGTGCCGAGGTCACCCTCCGAGATCAGGAGTTTTCTAGGGTTGGCCGGTTATTATCGGAGATTTATCAGGGATTTCTCTAAGATCGCAGTGCCACTCACTAGGTTGACCCGGAAGGGTGTTGCTTTTTCATGGGGCCCCGAGCAGCAGGCTCCTTTGAGACGCTTCGCCAAAGGTTATGCGAGGCCCCGGTGTTAGCCCTCCCGGAGGGAATGGAGGACTTTGTTGTATACTGCGATGCATCGATTTTGGGGTTGGGAGCGGTACTGATGCAGAGAGGGCATGTGATAGCGTATGCATCGAGGCAGTTGAAGCCTCATGAGTCGAGGTATCCCACCCATGACCTAGAGTTGGGGGCAGTGGTGTTCGCCCTCAAGATTTGGCGCCATTATTTGTATGGGGTTCGGTGTACGATATACACGGACCATAAGAGTCTGAAGTATTTGATGGATCAGCCCAACCTAAATATGCGGCAGAGGAGGTGGTTGGATGTGGTTAAGGATTATGATTGTGAGATCCTGTACCATCCGGGCAAGGCTAATGTGGTAGCCGACGCCCTGAGTCGTCGGGCGGAGAGTGCCCCGTTGCGAGGTGTATGTTTGCGTTTGACCGTGATGACTCCGGTGTTGGACACCATTCGAGGAGCACAGGCTGAGGCAGTGAGGTCGGAAAACCAGAAGAGAGAGCGAGTTGTTGGATTGGTATCGGAGTTCGTTACCGATGGTCGGGGGCTTATGACTTTTCAGGGGCGTATTTGGGTACCGTTCGTGGGAGGTACGCGTGCCATTTTGATGGAAGAGGCTCATCGGTCGAAATTCTCGATCCATCCGGGCCACTAAGATGTATTTGGATTTGAGGAAGGAGTATTGGTGGCCCTGTATGAAGAGAGATGTTGCGTGGTTCGTTGAGAGGTGCTTAACCTGCCGTAAGGTTAAGGCCGAACATCAGAGGCCGCATGGTAAGTTGCAGCCATTGGAGGTTCCCGAATGGAAGTGGGAACAGATCACCATGGATTTTATCACCAAATTGCCAAGGACTGCTCGGGGAGTTGATGCAATTTGGGTGATTGTGGACAGGTTGACGAAGAGCGCTCACTTCCTTGCCATCAGTGAGAGTTCTTCCGCAGAGAAGTTAGCAGAGATATATGTGAGGGAAGTGGTATCTCGGCATGGGGTGCCGATCTCGATTGTCTCCGACCGGGACGTGCGTTTCACTTCCAGGTTCTGGAAGAAGTTCCATGAGGAGTTGGGTACTAGGCTGCATTTTAGTACCGCATATCACCCCCAGACAGACGGACAGAGTGAGCGGACGATTCAGACCCTCGAGGACATGCTCCGAGCATGTGTATTGGATTTCGGGGGAAGTTGGGATACGTATTTGCCGTTGGCCGAGTTTTCTTACAACAACAGCCATCATTCGAGCATCGGTATGCCACCCTTTGAGCTGTTGTACGGGAGGAAGTGTCGGACCCCCATTTGCTGGGGAGAAGTCGGGCAGCGTGTTATGGGCAATACAGAGATAGTGCTTTAGACGATAGAGCAGATCCAACAGGTCAAACAGAGGTTACTGACTGCTCAGAGTCGACATAAGAGTTATGCGGACAGACGCCGGTCCGAACTCGAGTTCCAGGTCGGTGATTTTGTGCTCCTGAAGGTCTCTCCTTGGAAGGGAGTGATCCGATTCAGGAAGAGGGGCAAGTTGGGGCCCCGATATATCGGACCATTTCGGGTAGTCGCGAGGGTAGGCAGGGTAGCCTATCGCTTGGATTCGCCTGCAGAATTGGGGTAGATTCACGACACTTTACATGTGTCGCAATTGCGGAAGTGTATAGCCGATGAGTCGGCAGTGGTTCCATTAGATGATATTCAGGTGGATGCGAGCCTGAATTATGCTGAGAGACCAGTGGCCATCAGAGATCGGAAAATCAAAGTTCTGAGGAACAAGGAGGTACCTTTGGTCTTGGTTCAGTGGCAGCATTGGAAGGGGTCCGAGATGACATGGGAACCGTAGCGTGAGATGCGAAAGCAGCATCCGGAGTTATTTGCAGAGTGAGACTTCGAGGGCGAAGTCTAGTTCTAGTGGGGGAGAATTGTAATAGCCCGGAATTTCCAGGTATTTATTTTGGATTTATTTATGAAAACTTTGAGTGGACTCGGCGAGTTGGAGCTCAAACTTGCCGAGTAGGATCGCGGATTTGGGCACGGGTTCGCGTCCGGACTCGGCGAGTCCACGCTGTGTGGTGAAACCCTAATTTCCGGGGTTTGAGACCTATTTAAAGGGCCTTATGGCCGTCATTTGTGCTCACCCAACCCTTAGAGAGAAACCCTTGAGTGCTTGAACGTTTTGAGAGAGAAAGGAAGCATTTCTTGACCTTGTGTGTGACATTTAGCAAGAAGGAGGAGATTCTAGGCAAGAGGAAGCAAAGGAGGTTGCTATTCTATGGATTTGAAGCTTAGATCATCAATCTAGAGGTATGATTTCGGCTTACTTTCTGTTTTGTGAAGTATAATGGGATTTAGGGTTTCTTATGGACATTTTTGGGTTGATTTGATGCCAAATAGTTCCCTTCTTGTGTTGAGGCTCTGGATCTGGATCCATAGAGGTCCAGAGAGCCTCACTCACCAAGCTTTATGTATAGCAATGGAGTTTATGACCTTGAGTTGTAATATTTGAGACAAAAACATCATATATGGTCATATAGAGATTGTATGTGCATCAAGATAGTGACTTTACGTGCTAAATAAGCTTGGAAGGACTGGATCTATGGGTTAATGGACTGGATCTGACCTTATGAGCAAGTTTGAGTCATTGCATGGCACGGACTCGCCGAGTCCGAAGAATAGACTCGGCGAGTAGTATGAATATTGCCCGACCACACAGCGAGTGGTCTTGCCGAGTTAAGGAGGGTTACTCAGTGAGTCAGGGGGGAAGTCAGAGTGGACAGGTGGACTGAGTCAAGCTGGACTTGCCGAGTTGTTCTTGAGACTCGGCGAGTTGAGTCGTGGTGGCCCCACAACTCATGCCAGGTGGAACTCGTCGAGTTAGGAGAATACTCGACGTGTCAAGGGAGGATTTCAGGGAAGTCAGTGTATACGCTCAGGCTCGCCGAGTCCGGTCAAAGTTGACCGTTGACCAGCATTGACCTAAGTTGACTTGTTAAAGAGTAGTCAATCTTAGTTGGGAAAGTGTTAATTAGATATGTATTGTGATTTAAGAGGACTATAGCTCGGGAGATCGAGCACTAGTGATTTCAGGATTCACGACTTACCGAGACACGCAAGGTGAGTCTTCTCACTATACTTTACCTTGAGTAGGTAACCAGAGTTATGTGATAGAGTATTTGTATGCTATGTATGTTATGTGTTGTACTGCATTATTTCTATGTGATTTATGCTGTGCATGTTTACAGAGTTAGAACCTGAGGGTTCACAGAGTTTGGGTGCACGGACCCACAGAGTTATAGCCTCGAGTGGCTATTATGTGTTATATGTGGTATTTTGGGGAACTCACTAAGCTTTGTGCTTACAGTGTTTGATGTTATTGTTTCAGGTACTAGTGACGACCGCGGGAAGGCGCCGACTTGATCCGTACACACGCATGGAGTTTATACATTTGTGATCTTGGGATTTTGTATTTACTTGAATTGGATAATTAAATGTGGTTGTTTTGTGAATATTAAATGAATTATGTTTTATAAAAATTTAAAAAATTTGTTTTGAAATTTACGGTGTTATATCTAAATTGTTGATTTCCCTTCATTTAGTTTAATTGGTGTCATTAATAACTCTTTTAGCCATAATACAAGATATTTTAGAGTTGTGATACCAAAAAATATGATGAACAATGCCATAATATTTACGATTCACAATGCTAGTGTCTGCTAGAAAGTTTCCACAACCATCAAATTAAAAAACATGGATCAAATAGAGCTTTGATACCATGTGTGGTGTGTTTGAATAATCAACTTAGCTGGAAGATGGAAATAGGCAATTGAAAACTGAAAACTAGAAATTGGAAACTGGAAACTAAAAACTGGAAATTAGAAACTGGTAGCTGAAAGCTGGAAGCTCATAGTTGGATGCTACAACTTTTATTTGTGAGAAAGTGTTTGATAAAAATAGCTAGCTATAAGCTTTAGATAGATATAAATGATATAAAAATTAAAAGTTAAAAACTCTCAAAAACTAGTTGAACTAACTTTAGGATTAGATTAAAAAAAAAAGCTTTAAAGCAATCCAACCAAACATTTTCTTCAATTAAAGTTTATATATATATATATATATATATATATATATATATATATATATATATATATATATATATATATATATATATATATATATATATATAAAAGCTAAAACTCCATTAAGATCTCAAAAAAATATGTCGAACATTCCCCATATGATAACAAAATAGAGAGAAAACAATTAGGATTTATTATGGAAGAAAAAAAGAAATTAAAATGAATAATAGAACAGACAAATATAAATATGAAAGTTATCTATGAAGTAAAAGCTAAATAAAAATCCAACAAAAAATAACTAAATATCTTTATTATGCTAATTAACGAGTACAATCGACTTTCTAACTAACCCACGGTACCATGAACAACTAGTAAAAGATCTTCACATTTTTGTTTTGTTTTTTTTTTTTTTTTTTTTTTGTTTTTTTTTTGGTAAGAGGCATCTAATTTCTATAACTAATAATTCCAATAGATATAGCCCTCTTACCCTCTAACACTGCTACAAGCAAAATAAAAAATATATACCAATTAACCCATAGAGCTGGAACCATGGAAAAATTTAACTGACCCATCATAGTTTTTTGCAAAACCCACAAAATGCAATTTTCTTGTCCAAACATGTAGAAATTCTTGAGGTGCTAGCTAATTCTTTTTCACCACTTCTCGAATTCCCAACAAATTTAATTAACAAACCTTACTTTTTATATTGATCATCTTTGGAGAAATTATCAACATTTTTTAATTAGTAATTTCGTGTGAGAATATTTAATTTCGCTACTAGATTCTAGGAAACGCTTTGATACCACAATTGCCCTATATATATGAGAAAGAAAACTCACTCCCGTAGAGATTGAAGTAACTACTTTAGTTTTGCTTTTATACCCTCTAAAAAATGAATCAAACATCATTAAAGACGATGTTTTTGGTCACCTTTCTCCTTTTCATCTACGGTGATTTTATTTATTTACTTGTCTCTATAACTCTTCAATTTCCGTTATTTTTACTTGTTTATCTCTAATGGAATATGATTCGCAGGTTTGTTTATCTCATCTGTTTTGGCTGACAAAGGCTCGATAATTAACTCCGCATGTATTGACATAGGTGATTGCAAAATCTATTGTCGGATTGGCATACCAAATTGTTGTAGAAATATTTGCCAATGTCTCCCGTGCCATACATAAATTTCGATAATTATATTTACTATTTTTTTTGTCTCCACGAAAATTGTTGCATCATTCTCCAACTTCGATACAAGAAATCAGCATCAATGCTTGAGAAGAAAATGATATTTATGGTTTAACTAATCAAAATGAGTATAAACTCACACCGGTTGAATATTATCTGGATAATGAACAAGCAAACCTATACTTAATTTGGATTAGGCAATTCGGTTAAAATTTCTTGCGTTAAAGAGTTAAAAGGTTACAATCCGACATATTAATTTAATCAAATGTCCTCAATTTGAAAAATTGTTAATATAATCTTTTTATTTTGATTAGAGCAATATAGATTGAGTTTTGCAACTACCCTTTTCTTAAAAAAGTTCATACAACAATAAAAGCATGATTATATCTTAATAAGAAACAAAGGTATATTCTACTATTTTTCTCATAAACGGACTACTTCTAATAAAGTGTATTGTGCTAATCAAGTCTACTGAATTTTTTCCCTTGTATTTTCTTGTTAAGATCTTTGCACAGGGTGCCTCTCATGCGGGGGAAAGAACATAAATGATGTCTACTATGCTATTCAAGCCCTTCTTCTCCTAAATGTTGCCATTAAAGCATCACCTATTGATTATCATCATACACTTAGACATCCATTTGTTCGTGTTTTTCAACATCTTATTAAAGTTTTAGGTCTTAATTTTAAATCATTATCGACAAAAAAGTTTCATTGTGCTTCATGTTATGTTAATAAAAGCCACACGCTATGCTTTGGCCCAAATTCTTTTACTTCCAATAAACCATTACAACTCATTTATTATGATGTTTGGGGATTTATTCAAAAATCGATTGATGACTTTGCTTACTATGTCATGTTTGTGGATCAGTACTCAAAATATATTTGGTTGTATCCTATTACATATAAATCCAATGTCTTAAAAATCTTCACTCAATTTAAACTTCAATTCCAAAAATATACTAACACACCCATCGTTTCCATATTCAATGATAATGGTGGAGAATATCAAGCTCTTATACCGCCGTTCCAATCCATGGGGATATCTCATTACACCCCTCTCCCTTACACAACCAAGCAAAATGGCACAACTGAACGGCGCCATCGACATATTGTTGAAACGGGTCTTGCCTTGCTACATTATGCAGGCCTCCCTCTAACCTTTTAGTTCCATGCTTTATAAACAACAGTGCACCTCATAAACCGTTTACCAACTCCAATCCTAAACTCCAAAAGTCCATATGATCTCATGTATGGTTGTTCTCCCAACTATGCAAAACTAAAGCCTTTTGGATGTCTCTATTATCCACGGCTTCGTCCCTATTCCACCTCAAAACTACAGCCGCGCTCCACTCCTTGCCTCTTCTTAGGATATTCCAGTGCTAAATCAGCCTACAAATGTCTTCACCTTAAAACCAATCGTATATATCACTCTCATCATGTATAGTTTATAGAACATGCTTTTTCCCCTACAAAAACTCCCCAAATCCATCCATCTCACTTCCCACTATAGATAAATTCTTCACCCATACCACATCGACTGTCTTTACTCACACTATTCCTGATACTCCTTTCACATAACCTTCTTCCTTACCACAACCAATGCCACCTGTTAACGAACACATCTCACCTACACCCTCTGATCAAAATTCATAGCCTTCTTCATTCGTGTTACATCTTTCACCAATACATTCATCTATATCATCACAACCTTCATCATCGAATCCATCACTACCTTCATCATCAGATCTAATGCGGCGCTTACGAAAAAACCCAAAATATTTCAACCCTTAGCTCGTAAACACCAACACTATTCATCCTATTCTTGTTGCTCTTGAACCTACTACCCATATTCAAGCATCCAAAGACCCATTATGGCATAAAGTAATGGAATGTGAATACAATGTTGTAATTGATAACTCTACATGGGATCTTGTTCCTTCTACCTCTTACCAACCAATCATATGCAAATGGGCCTTTTGCATTAAGCAAAATCTGGATGGAACCATTGAAATGTACAAATCATGTCTTGTGGTAAAAGGCTTTCTCCAACAATACAAGAAAATTTATTTTGATACATTTAGCCCCATAACCAAACCGGTTACCATACGTACCATGCTATTCATTACTCTCTCCAAAAGTTGGCCCTTAAGAAAACTCGATGTAAACAATGCGTTTCTACAAGGTACCTTACAAGAGGAAGTTTACATGACTCAACCAATAGGATATGTTAGTCCTCAACATCCCAATCACATTTGTAAGCCCCAAAAGTCATTATATGTCCTTACGCAAGTACTGCATGCATGGTACATGACACTCACCTCATTTTTATTGGAGTTTGGTTTTGAAAATCTCAAGCTGATGCCTCATTATTCATCTTTAATAATTCTGGAATCACCTACTACATCATGGTATATGTTGATGACATTGCGTTCATAGGAAATAACTCAAATTTTATTTCCAAATTTGTTGAAATGATTGTTGCCAAGTTTTTTGTCAAAGATCTCAGTTATCTAAATCACTTCATAGGTGTTGAAAATATTCCAACAAGGTAGGGTCTGTTTCTATCACAACACAATCAAATTAGAGACATTCTTACTCACTTCAATATGGGTGGCGCCAAATACGTCACAACTCCTTTAAGTTCATCTATTTCACTTGCTACAGAAGTTAGAGCTCCCAAGGTAGATCCGGGACCTTGCCGAAATCTATTTGCACTCTACAGTACTTTTCCATTAATATAATGGATACCCATGTGCTATCAACAAACAGTCATAATTTATGCACTCACCGTCAAAGATTCACCGACAAGCTTTTAAAAGGAATTTATGCTACTTAAAAGGCATAATTTTAAATAGACTTTTTTTTAAATTGAAATTCAACACTCGATCTTATTGTGTTTTCTGACTCTATGTAACATCCCAAAAATATGATCCAAAAATTTCATTTTTAATTTAAGTAAAAAATAGTATTCCAACATTATCCATACATCCCAAATAAAATAAGTGTAACAAACATCATAAATATCAGAGTGAAATCTCAAATGCGGAATCCATATGGTGTGTGCAATGCAGTCAACTTGAGCTCTTCCCTTTGGAATCGAAACTACCTGAAACATAAACTGAAAACCATAAGCACAAAGCTTAGTGAGTTCCCCAAGATACCGCATACCATACATACATAGCATATAACGGGCCCCACCTAAAGAGTATATGTGACAACTGTCAAATTCTGGTCAAGTCAAAGTCAAATAAAGTCAACAAGTCAAACCGACCAACTCAACTAACCCTTGTGTGCTAGGGCTTACGTTAGGTAATTACTATACAACGCGCTATGCTAATGAGAAATCATCAATTGAAAAGTTCGTATATCTAGATTTCCTTAAGCTAAAATTGTGGTAAGTAATGAACCAAACCGATAAACAATGTTGCATACTCGTCGGGAGTGTGTAAGATCCTTAAACATGGTTTAACGGGGCTTACGGGCCTTGCGTTTGCGAAGCCGAGCACTCAAAAAAGTCACAAAAGAAGCCTCTCCCAATCTCTTTCACTCTATCTCTCCCTATTAAAAATCTCTCCCAAATCTCTCTCAAAAGCTCCTATAACTTTTTGAAATCATTCGGGTCATCCCGACCCTTAACCGGGTCAAAAATCGCTTAAAACGGGGTAAAAATGGGTAAAACAACCTAAAGGAACCGAAACCACCCCTTAGGGAGCGAACCCTCTTAGGGCCGAAGGTCCCTTATAGGGACCAAACCTGTTAAAAACCGAAGTGCTTGAACCAAACCCGAAGCTGGAAGAGCCGAAGCCTCTCGGACCAAAACCCTTAGGACCGAACCGAAACCCTTAGGACCGAACCCGAAGTTCGCTTTCACTCCTGATCGTATCCTTCAGCTCATTTCACCCATGTCCATGACCAGAAGGGACCGAACCTCGGCCCAGGACGGAGAGGTCTCGCAGGAAACCTTTTTCCACCCGGTTTTCAACTACGACTTCGTTTTCGGCTCGTTTTTCATTATTTTAAGGTGGGATTTTCACCAAAAATTATATTTGAACATATAAGGCCCCATATTTATTAATTAATCACGTTTTTGGGGATAAATCTTATCCAAGAAGAGTGGGTGAAGTACAAGAGGTGGAGTGTTGACTTTTCTTTAGTTTATGACACAAGCAACCACCCATACCCACTCCATGACCAACCCATACCCCTCCCCACCATCCCTAGTCATTTCATAGTCCTTTCCCACTCGTTTCCCAGCCATACTCACATTTTAAGAGCTGGAAAACTCACCCTCTCTCCTCATTCTCACTCATTTCTCTCATTTCCACCCAAAGAACAAACACTTTTCTCTCAACTTCTCTCTTTCAATTCCGAGATTTCCAAGGCTTTTTCCAAGACTTTTCTTCTTCATTTGGTAAGTATCATCATCTTTCATATGATTATTACACTTCCTTTTAACTCAAATCATAGATCCCTTACACAAACTCCATCATATTTGTGTTAGATCTTCGAATCTTCTAGCAACATTCTAAGTGTTCTTGAGTTGAATACTTCCTTTCTTCAACATCCATCCACAGTGAGTTCATACCCCTAAATTTTCATGTTTTATTAAGTTTTAAGAGGGGGGAAGGGGGATACAAGTTAAAACACCAAGAACATAACTAAACTCATCCAACAGCTTTCATCAGAAAAGTTTAACTCCATTCACGGACTGTTTTGGTCAACTTAAACATTTTAGAATTCAAAACTGTATTATATGAAAATATTTCAGGTTTATACCTTTAAAATGACTACTTGCACATGTTCATAAATTTTTTCTACAATTTATGGTGATTTTTACAAAACTGCCTATCACTGTAACTACAAATCCGGACCAATTTGTGAATATGGAAAATTTCACACAAGTTAGAGACATATAAAAATCATGATAAAATTTATGAACAAACTAGACATATTTTCTAAACTCTCAGAGTTTACGGATTCAGTTTTTGACTTCGTATGATTTTTCTGTGATTTTTCCAAAACAGTGCAGAAATGCTAAAAAAAGGTTGACAGCTTACAACTTTCATCACACTTTGTAACATGTTGAGCAAAGTGTTAATCTTTGATGGTTTCATATTTTACCTATGTTTTATGTTATGGAATATTTATATAAAAGAAAATACTCACTGATTTGTAAGTGTCCATTGTCATTACAAATAATACAAGATAAGGCATGATAAACATAGTTATGTTTTTGCTATAAATTCGACTCACATAAAATGAGGTTCATTTGCATTACAAACGTATTGGATAAACTATAATAGGTATAGTTTATGTTTCATATACATTATAAACAATCATGCTAAACTATAATAGATATAGTTTATGTTTCAATTACATTTCAAACTCATTACCAAAGGTTTTCAGTTCATATAAATGGTGTACAAATACAAAGTACGGGTTTATACAAAATGGGGTTTTCGGTTCATATAAATGCGGTACAAATACACAGTACCAGGTTTATACAAAAAGGGGTTTTCAGTTCATATGAATGGGGTACAAATACAAAGTATCGGGTTTATACACAAAGGGGTTTTCAGTTTAGTTCACGTAAATTTGTTAATGAATAAATTTGTGAGACATTTCGCTTCGCGTTACCTCCAAAGTAACAAAGTCAAAAGTCCTGTAAATTATAACCAGAGTCTCATATAAGGAGAACGTGATAGTTGTGTATAGATCTATATTGGGTCTGACAAACCCGCACCTGAGCTGCATGTAACAGCTAGACTGGCAGGTCTGTGGTCACAAGTGTCCTTTAACTGGCGACGCTTGAAGAACGTCGTATTACGAGGCTGACAGGTCATAGTATGGTTATAATAAATCACATGGGATATTAACAAAATACAAGATTTACGGGTTCTTACTTTTAAATTTAACGAGTTCAAGTCGATTTAAATTTGTATAAAAGTTCTTTAAGTATGGGAAAATACTTGTACATTTCGGTCTTGAATTTTAAGACTACAATACATTTTATAAGAGAAATATTGGATTTTTCTTGAGGAAACATCACTTTTACAAAGAAAATGATTTTAGCATCACAGTTAAAAGCTTATGAACTCACCAACTTAATTCTTGACACATTTCTTTCAAAAATACTTGTATTCTCAGGAAATCAACGAAATCAAG